GAGGGATGGTCTCGATATTCGCGAGAACGGGCACCGCGAGACAGCGAGATTTTGCGGCAAATTGCAAGGTCGTTTTTTGCTTAACAAAAAGTACGAAGGCATCGATTCGCTCGCGATTCTTTTTTCAACTGATGAGAAATAGAAATAAAAAAAAAGAAGGGACTTCTCGTTCATCGTAAACGTCGCGGTTTTGCATTGAAAGTTTATACGGGACTATCAAATATTCAACAAAAAACCAGAAAACAAAAAAAAAAAAAGAAAAAAGAAAATATTTCTCTTCAGCTAACTCGACCTTCCGATTCCTCCGTTTGGAAAAAAAAGGGAGCGAAGTGAAAGACCGGCGCGGACAGTTTTAGATAGGAGGCCACGATACAAATAAACTACTACCCGCATCAACCCCAGAGCCTCTGATCTTCTCTCTGATCCTTTTATCTTTTAATTACGCGGATTTCGCCACCCGTTTAATTCTCAATCCGCTTTTCCGACTTGAACCCAGTTTTCTCAACGCTTCCGCGATTCAACGTGGATAACAATCGCTCGCCGCCGTTTGATAAAATACTGCCGGCGAATCTTTTGAGGAATATAACAATTTTTCTATTATTTAAAAAGAAGTTATTCCAAGGGAAAGAGAGAGATTATCTCTCGTGAAAGCTGAAGAAAACCGGGGGGGGGGGGGGGGGAGACGAAAGATTACATACGGGGAGTAATATATCCCAGAAATAAAATCTGGAATCGCAGATCGAAATAAATTTTCAGAGAACGCTAAACCGACACTCTCACGGTTGAGCCAACGCATTACTTCCGCGGAAGGAAATAGCGTCTTGAGGGGAGAATCCGAGAGAGACGAGGATAAATAAGAGGAACGTGCAAATCTCTGGAGAGTCGAAACGTTCCGCGCGATCGATATATCCGAAAGGCTTTCGGACCGTGGGAAACACAGCGATTCCCGGATCCTCGACGAGGACCGGGGAGCGTGCAGCAGCTCTCCTGGATGATCGTTACAGCGCATCTGAATGCGGATCTCTCTCTCTCTCTCTCTCTCGATACGGGGAAGAGAGGAGAGGGAGGAAAGAGGAGCGTCCGTCTACCCGTCCCACGTCCGGTTCCTTTCCAGTCCACCGTGTGTATTCGCCCGGCAAGCGAGCGGCGAGCCCGTCTCCGTCGTGCGAATTGAAAGTGCTGAAAGTCCCGTCGAGGCGAATTGCCAATTGCTTCGTCGCTCTCAGCCAGGGGCTTACTACTCGGCACGAAATTGGAAATACCGTGGCGCGCGGATACGGGGAAACCGTCTCTCTCTCTCTCTCTCTCTCTCTCTCTGCCGAGATCGGCGAGACAGGAGTCAGGACTGTAGGATTCACTCCCCGGCGTGTATATACATACGTACATATGCAGGTTGCGGGGCGGGGGGGGGAGAGAGGGTGCTATATACAAAGACGCAGGATTTGTTTCGGTGGAGAGATGGAAAGGGTGGTAGGTGCGCGTTAACCTGTCAGAAGTTTCATCAATCTCCCGAAATCTACGGATCTCTCGCGACCTATCTCGGACGTGATTTCGAAATCTCGCGGATTGTCCGCGTGGAAACATCAGTTCCATTGGGTCAGGGGATCGTGGGGAGTGCCTCGAACCTTACGAATCCCGTGGAATCCCGTTCGAAGGTAGCACCTCTGGAGAGACACGCTCGTTCGCCAAGTTTCGATCGAGCGCCACGTCATATGACGTGACGAACTAAAGATTAATAGCCCCTTTCGAGCTATCGACTCGTATCTATCCCGTTAATTTCACTTCAATTATTAATCGTTTTGTCCGTCGAACGGTGCGAGATCGCAATGCTCATTTATAACGTCCGTCTCGCTGATCTGTATCGTGAGTCAACGTCAATATTAACCCCCCCGGGAGGCGCGGGGGGGGTTATTCGCGCTTACGTTGAACG